GGGTATCTCTTCCATTAACCGGCATTTAAATTTTGCTTGGTAACTCCTCAAATGAAGAAATTTCGTCCGTACGTACAGGGATTAAAAGAAATCTCTTCTTTACTGCAGCAAATAATTTGGTCAACCTGCCATTTCTCAAAGTATGCAATGAATGTGGGTTATTTTCATTTACATACGATCATGGCTAAAATAAATAAACATAAAAAATAAGACACCATTCAACATATAACCTTAACATCTAAAGCATGGCCATATGGCCGTTTGCCAGAATCTACAAAAATTTAAATGTGTAGAGGTTAGTGACCGTTAATCGATAGTTATTCAGATATCGTGAGATGCGGTCGGGTGTGATGTAGGTTTCTGAAAAACTAAATTGTTCAACAACAATTCAACACGACACGCAAGGATGGCACAATTACACAGAAGACAAACACTTTGAGCCCTGAAGATGATCTCAATAAATGATCGAAACGTTGGCACGATAAAGAAAATGTTTTTCTGAAACCTACATCACACCCGACCGCATCTCACGATATCTGAATAAAAATTTAAATATTAAAAATAAAGTAAAAGGGCGTCGGTGGCCGCAATGGTTTATGCGCTGATATGGCGCACTGTAACGTAAAGGTCTCGGGTTCGAATCCAGCGGCCCTGCATTCGAACCCGACATACTTACAAATGTGATTTTTTTTCAAAAACACCGGCACCCTGAGGGTAGATATGACCTCTGCTTTTGCGAACCCTCATAGAAAAAAAATGTAAAGCAGAAAAGACATAAGTGAACAGAATATACGAACATGCAAAAGAAACAATTATAATTTTTCAACTACCAACTATATCATGTCAGTACAATTTCATCGATTTGTATCGATCACCACTGCGCATGGTGCCTCTTTCGAAGTACCTAAAGTCGGCGCTTCCTCGGCCTCATAAAAAGTTAAGTTGGCATCCATGTATTGAAACTGTCAGGACGAAAGGAAGAAAAGTGATGAGTGAACGGAAAGAGAGACATCTCCTGAAATATTTGCCTCTGCTGTGCCCGACCTTGTTTGGCTGCATGGCCTACATCCCAAAAAACGCGCCTGAGAGGCACGATAGGCTCTAAAATCAGGGCTTTCGAGCGATCTCCGGAATTGTCCTGTGGGCTTGGACTGCTGAACTTTGGAGAGTCCAGCTCACCCTCTGCTATGAGTGGGTTTTCTGAGCGATTTCAGACGCGACCAGCTTTACTTTCGTACAAAACCCGCGTCTCTGACTTGTAGAGAAAGGTTGCTCGACGTGTTCCACTTAGTTGAAAGGTTTAATTCCTTGGCTTCATATAGAGATCGTGTAGGTATGCCGATATGAGAGTCGTGCTTGAGCAGCGAGTAACTGGGTCACATGTTCATATTTTTGGAAGAAACGTGGTTTTTATATTGTATATACTGTCGGTTTTGTTTTTGTGTTGAGAATGAACGTGTAGTGTGAGAAGGCCAATGGCGGAATATTGAGTACCAGATCGACAATCAGTTGAAAAGTAATGGGCTCAATCACTTCAGTTATCAGTTCATCAATTTTCAGTAGTCCGTAAAATGAACAATTAGAAAACTAAAAACAAACTTAAATAACAATTAGAATAATCATTAAATTATTTTACCAGCATTATTCTAAACAATAAAAATGCTTTTCAAAACAGACAGGATAGGGATAGGGATAAAAGAGGCGGCCACAAGGTCTAATGCACCTCGACCTAAATACATCTATTGTGCTCCTCTGCTAATTATAACTCACTGGTCAGTTTCAGGCTATTAACCAGCCTCCACAGCTTCGCCAGCGGTTCCTTGGTGTAGGATCTTGTCTGCGGTTTTTCTTGTCCTAGTTGCAAGAACCTGCACCTACATAGACCTTCGCAGCAACATAAAATGTGTTCTGCGGTCTCCTCTTCCTGGCAGTATTTGCACAGTGTTTTTTCTGTCTGTAATCCTATCCGGTGAACGTGCTTTCTTAAGTGGCATTGCCCTGTCAGGAGTCCAACCAGAATCCTGGTTCGGTTTCGGTTTCCTTCCAGTAATTCTTTTGTAAGTTTTGCGGATAGTCCTTCTATGAATCTCTTCGCCTGTGGTATTGTTCCACCAGGTTTTGGACTCATTAAGGATCCATTTGAAGATGTATCCTCTTTTGTGGCAGGCTGCTAGGCTGCAGTAGGTTTCTGGGCCCATAGAGTCCAGTTGGCTTCCTTTTTAGCCAGCATGTCGACCTTTTCGTTGCCTCTATGCCCCGAATGTCAAGGGACCCTTGCCAGGGTCAAGTCATTATGCCGCTGACATCCGTCAGGGCCTCCATGCATTTCCAAACTCTTTGCCTTCGCCTCGCATGAGGCCAAGGCCCTGAGTACTGCCTGGCTGTCCGAGAAATTGGCTGGAAAATGGTACCATACTTGGCTAGGTTTACCGTCAGTTCCGTCTTGGGGTTCAACCCCAGCTCTCGTACACTTGTCGGTTTAGGAGCTGTCAGTATACCAGTAGCAATTTGCATTAAGTGTTGTTTTCAAAACAGAACTAACTCCTACCATTTATTGCCATAAAGTAATGAAATAACATCATAAACAGAAAGATAATCATTTTTAAGGAAACACAATTTTTCATGCTTCAGTATGATACAATGCTGGAAAGTGGAACGTGTTTTCCACTTAATTTTTATTGCATAAAGAACATCTATAAATTATGTTTGTCGACCAGGGTTTGTTTGAGACTGAAAGGAGATTTAGCCCCTTTAATTACACCCTAACCTTCACATAACTTCGACCACTTCATCATAAAAAATATATACAAGAATATCGCTTATTTATTCGTGACAGATAATGTGATGTAGGGCTGATAATTAAGGAAAAATTTAGATAATTATTTTAAAAAAACTGAAAACTTTTATCTACATGTACTAAATTTTTTTTTTTTATTATAAAAACTTTGAAAGCTTTTCCAACTTTTTTACGTTTTTCGTATATGCATTTCGAGGCTCTTTCCCCCTCATCTTCAGTACATTTTTTTAATTTGTACAAATCAACAATAATAAAATAGATTTTCAAATCTTAATAATATTTTACAATTCAACTCGATGCTTATATTTTCAGTGTGAACAAATGTATGGCTTTTTTTTTCTCGACAACATGTCTATTTTTCTCATTTGAAGGACATATCAACGTCATTTTTTCCGCTCTTTTTTAAAATTATTGTCTCTAAGTATCATAATTATATTCCAAGATGCACATTCTTTCTTTGTCTTTTTACAGATTTACATTACTGACAAATATATCGATATATGTTGCTTCCAATCATTCAAAGTTTTTACTATTACTTTCTTTATGTAAAAGTATTATATTATTAATAACCATCACATGATTTGTTGCGATTAAATAGTTTGATAGACCTTTTGGTTCCGATTTATTTTTTACATCTTTTTATGAGGTTTACTTCTTCTTTTTAACAATTGTATGGTTTTGAGTAGATAACCTTTTTACAGCAACATGTTATTTTATAAATTAAAAAAAAAAATTAAATTCACTAATTTTGTGGTCCGCTTGACCAATTGATATATTACAATTAATTAACATTTTTAGTTGATATAAAAAGTCAATGGCACGAGCGGGATTCGAACCCACGATCTTCAGCTAGATACGCCGCTGCTCGACCACCTGAGCTATCGTGACCTTGATCCACTCGTACACTAACTTTCCATCTCAACCCCACCTTTTGAATTTCTAGCAGAAGATCGTGGTTTCGAATCCCGCTCGTGCCATTGACTTTTTATCTCAACTAAAAACCTTAATTAATTGTAATTAAAATTAAAGTTTATCACTTTTTTCTTGAATATTTGAAAGGATACATTTTATTTTGTTTTTTTAAGTATATATACAGGAAGTTCTTAAATGTAGAGAGTGAAGAAGCAAATTATTGGAATTAACAACGAATCAAATGTTGTTGTTTTTAAATCTTTTGCTACTTTGTCATTTTTTGACCAATTTAAAATTCTATTGCACCATTGTTTTCAGGGTAAAATTCACTAGTTTTCGTGGTCCGCTTGACCAATTAGTATCTATCAATTAATTAAGATTTTTCGTTGAGATAAAAAAGTCAGTGTGACGAGCGGGATTCGAACCCACGACCTACGGCTAAATACGCCACTGATCTACCACTTGAGCTATCGTGACTTCGAACCACTCGGACACCAACTTCCATCTCAACCTCACCTATTGAATTTTTCTTCTTTTTTTAATTGAAAGATATTAACTGGTCAAGCGGACCACGAAAACTAGTGAATTTAATAAGTTAAATGAAGTATATCTTCACTAAAAAGCTCTCCGTGGCCATTTCATTCGTCGCCGAGAATCAAATAGATTACACATTTGAAAAATGGCAAAAAGGAGGGAAAATTCAAAAGGTGAAGTTGAGATGGAAGTTAGTGTCCGAGTGGATCGAAGTAACGATAGCTCAAGTGGTAAAGCACCGGCGTATTTAGCCGAAGGTCGTGGGTTCGAATCCAGCTCGTGACAATGACTTTTTTATCTCAACTAAAAATCCTTTCAAATGATGTGTCAGGATGTATAGGCTTGTAGTTGAAATTTTGAAGTTGAACTGGGCCTGATATAGTCTATAATTTTTCTCCAAAAAAGGTAAAAATTTTGAAACAAGACTAAAAAATATCAAACCCGTATTTTTTTTATAGCATCATTAGTTCAAGAAAAATTCAGCCGTGCCATCTAAGCAGGATACTCTATATATCTTGATAGTTTCTTATAGGTTTTTTTTTTTTTTTTTTTTTTTTAAATCTAGATTATCGGTTTTTTCTAATTTGGGTATTTCTCTATTGCCTTTATTGTCATATATATAACATTCTTTTCAATATTATTGGTGATTAATTTTGTAGGATAATTGCTTTCTACTGCCATTGTATATAGAATTTTTAAATTATTTTTATGGAATATACTACTAATATTTAACATTTTTCTGATTTTTAGATTTTTGCGTACGTTCTTTCAACATTTTCCATCAAATAAATTTGTCCAGGTGTAACTCGTACTTTACAATAATATATTTCAAGACGAGGAAACGAATTCGGAAGGTTGCTCAAGACTTCTTCAGATTAGTCCCTCCGACCGAAACAAAATGTGACCACATCCCAAAAAGGCCAAAGTCAATTAAGGGAAGTGCCAGAGAAAGAACCAAGATGGGTAAATAATCGGAGATAAGGTAAGAAACCCTAGAGGATCCCAGAGCGAAGTCCTCCGTGGCACGGGTGAAGTGAAGGGGAAGGCAAGGACGTCCTTAAGGGGTGAACAACTATATATAAACTCTACCCGAGTCTTATCTCGTCACTTCACCTCCTCGCACACCATCGCCAGCAAACATGATTCGTGTAAGTTGCAAACTTCAAAACCCGATACGATTACACGTCTTTACAGATTACGTCTTACTCTTCTTCACTTTAATGACTTTCAAAAAAAAAAAAAAAAACTTTATCCTGCTTCTTCATTAATTTCAAATTGCGCCCCTCATTTTATATTTATCATTAGGAAATCAAGTAACTTTTTTGGTACTTCTAACAAAATCAATATTAGTTTTTATTTTTTTAAAGTATAAAATATATAAGTGAAATTTGGGACATATTTCAATTTGCCATTTATGGAATATATTTTTAAATAAACATATGGAAAATTTTAACAATTTATGATTCAGGTAAAGAGTTGAAATATCAAATTTAAATGATCACATAAAATCAACTGATACGATCTTGAAACGTTTTTATATTTTTTCTTTTCACATAAAATTACTCGTGAATTTGATGTAATAAATATTTCTTAGCGAAATTTTTTTTTCGGTTTTACAAACGTTTTTAATTATACACATTTAAACATTTATCATGTGATGTATGCTTTTAATAAACACAATTATAATTGCTAACGTACTGCAGCGTATGTGCGACCTAATTGAATTCGTGTTGTATTAATAATCAGTCAGGGAATTTCCTTTGAATATTGATTAAACGTAAATTTGTACAGGGTGTTTAAAACCGATTTGTTTACAATCAAGTTAATTAACGCTCATAATTTTAACGTAATATTTATTTTCAATCAAATAATTTGTATAAAAGAGGTATAATTATAAGATCAATTTTGAAAAGTTATGGGATTAATGTATCAGCAGTTTTTTGTACTTCTTACCTAGTACTTCCACTTGAAAAGCTTGAACAGTATTCATGTTGCTCATAAATAAGTTGATTCAAAGTTTATAATTTTATAATGTAAACACTTGGTGAAAATATTGACGTTTTATCCTTTTGTTATTCATTAGGTTTTGTCAGATTTTCCAGTGACACAAAAATGCTTAATGATCTGGCGTGGAACGAACATCTACCACAAAAATAATTTTTTTGTAGTTTTTAGTTTTCGATGGATTTTTAAGAATAGCGTTTTAACCCAAACATAAAACGACACAATGATGAATCAATTCACAATTTAATCCATGAAGATTTCTAATAACATTTTGAAAATTTTCCAAGCCAAAGAAATTTCTCCATTAAATCGAATTGCCATAAGTGTGTGAAAAATTTGAATAATGCTTAAATAACCATTGTTTGTACGAATAATAAAGTTAAATAAAATTTTTCAATTCATTTAGGTTTTTAGTTAAGATAAAAAAGTCAGTGTAACGAGCGGAATTCGAACCCACGACCCTCGGCTAAATATGCAGCTACTCTACCACTTGAGCTATCGTGACCTCGATCCACTCAGACGTTAACTTCCCATCTCAACCCCACTTTTAGAATTTTCCCACCTTTTTGCCATTTTTCAATCAATTCATCGAGGTCACGAAAGCTGAAGTGGTAGAGCAGCGGCGTATCAAGCCGGAGATCGTGGGTTCGAATCCCGCTCGTGACACTGACTTTTTTATCTCAACTAAAAACCTTAATTAATTGAAAGATATTAATTGGTCGAGCGTACCACGAAAACTAGTGAAGTTAAATAAAATGTTATTTTGTAGGGTTAGTTTTCTAATAATGAGCACACGGTCCGTTTTTATCTAAAACTTTATTTTTCCTTTTTTTACAATAGTTCAAGCAGTTCGCTCATGTTCCTGGGAATATTATTTATATAAATAAAATCATACAATTAGAATATTTATAATTAAAATAGTTGTTTCGTTACCTTCTTTAAATACTATTTTTGGCATATATTTTTGACGTCCTTGTGTGTACTGTGTAGCTTACTTTTTCATGTTTAGATTTTTTAAATTTTGATATTTTATTAAGTTAAATTAAAAGTCTGACAAAAACTACTGAAAAATTGTGTTCTTTTCTTCTCGTATGTATGCATAAATGTTAGTTAATTACAAAAATAAATATACGAATTTAAACATATTTGTATGTATACGTATCATTTTTTCTGCACATAGGTTACGTGCCTTCTGAACAATTTCCGATTGGTTTTGAACACTTTTCCCGTAAATGTATTATAAATTCACTGTTTCAAACTAGGACCATAAACAATTTAGTTAAAAAATATCGGCTTGAAAAAAGGAAAAATGTACGTATCATCTTTCTTTGGAATAGAGCCAAAGACTGCAGAACGATCCTGGCAAAGGATAAAATAGTGTCTTGATAACAGTAATCCTCGATAGGCTTTTTCGAACTTTAGATAACAAAAAACTTTTGGAAAGCAACTGGATTCACCGCGAAAAATTGTGTAAAAGAAAAGGTTTGAGAAAAGTTTAACTATACAGCCGAATGGAATTAAAACATTGGATTTTAGTTTAAAAAAGAGGGTTGCAATAAAATATTAAATTAACTAATAATTTTACTTTTTTTAATGTAAGTACGGTATTACAGATTAACAGTATGGCTTGGAAGGATTGGATGTTTTTAGAGAAATTTTGGGCCTATATCATAATATCATAACCTTTCAAAACTGATATTTTTTCATTCTTGCTCGGCAACTCCAGCAGTCCATGACTTATTTGATTCATCATGACAACAGAGAATCTAAGTAATCAGAAGACGGATAATCAAAAATAGTACAAGGATTCAGAAGCGGTAAATAGTGACTTGCTCATGTTAGAAGACTAAGACATTTTTCAACATTAAACCTCGGTGGCTGGACGGATAAGACTGAGGACTACCATCACTCGGGGAGGGTGATTCTCGAGTCTGAAGGCAAATTACTATAAATAGCAAAAGCTGAAATTGACTATTTTCTTTATCGTGTCAACGTTTCGATCTTTATTGAGATCATCTTCAGACCGCATCTCACGATTTCTGAATAATCATAGTCTAACGGCCACTAGGGGACCAAAAAAACATTAAAATCAACTCTCACAACAATTTCTCCTTCATTTATCCGATTCTCGCTGGTGTTCCACATGGAAGCGTTATCGCTCCCCTCCTCTACACAATCTACACGGCTGATCTCACCCTAACACTTTCATAAGACTTCGTTACAGGTGCAGGTAATTAAAACCAAATCACTTATACATACTTGAATCTTGGCGAATGGTGAATCAAGGTTAATTTTTTTTTTTTTGCATATTAGCCATGTGACAAATTCGTATATGTGTGTTCAAATTTGGGGGGTTATTGGGAAAAAAGGGCCAGGGGCAAAGGTGGGAATCGAACCCACGACCGCGGCGTGAGAGTCTCTCATGCTAACCTCTCGGCTACCGCGGTCCCCCTATCAAGGTTAATAAAATTATAAATTTCAATACATTGTTTTCACTCTTAACATAACACCTCTCCCTCCTTTATTTTTCAATAATCGTCCAATCCCCGTTCCTTAGACTGTGCTTCGACAAAGCCTTAACTCGAATCCCCAATATACTCAAACGTAAAAATTTACATACAAGATTCAGTGCTAAAAAGACTACTTGTCAAGCAATCCAAACTTACAGTAACAAAAAAAAACTATACTGCTCTGCTAGCCCCACTATGGTCATACAAACCGCTAAGTGTTCGAATCTTAAAAGACTACAAACCTTAAAATCTAAAATTTTTCGAACAATAGATGACGCTACCCTCTATGCCTCTCACCAGACAATTCAAACCAGCTTAAAAATCCCACTTTGCGAAAATCAGTTACCAAAATTTTCGTTCTAAATTACACCATCACTCAAACCAATTGACCAGAGAATTGTCATCGTCAACATTACCCGCCAATCCTCATCGGAGACTGGCGCGACGTCGGCCACGCGTCAGTTAGTTGCCTAACATCGGCAAAGGATAGTTGCCAAGTGATGTCCACCCTGTTCGTGAACTAAAGGCTAACATCACTGGATAGACACCTTGTGTGGTTCGCACAATATAATAACAATTTCAATATTTTTGCTTGTTGCATGCATAAATTAACCTTACAAAATTTAACAACCGGTGGATAGTGCAATCGTTGAGGAAACCCTGGAGAAATATTGTTTCATTTTTGTCCTAAATTAATAGTTTTTCATTTCCAGGCAATACTTGTCGTCGCAGTGGTTGCTGCATTAACAGCTTGTGGTAACGCTCAATTAGGCCACTACTATAACAGAGGTTACGGTTACGGAGGATACGGCTTGGGAAACTTCGGAGGATTCAATCTTGGAGGTAATTACGGAGTGGCTCCCGCAGTCGCCAGGGCAGGTTATGTCGGAGATTACAGTAACTTCGGAGTAGCGCCTGTAGGATTTCCAGTGAGGAACGCAGTCTACCAACCGGCGCCGGTCGTCGTCAGCCGTCCGGTAGTCAGCCAACCTAGAGTGCTCAACACCCATCTCAGGGAAGACGCGGAATACGACGCAAACCCTCAGTATTCTTTCTCCTACGACGTCCAGGACAGCGTTACCGGCGACGCGAAAAGCCAATCGGAGTCGCGTAGCGGCGACGTCGTTCAAGGCAGCTATTCGCTCGTCGAACCCGACGGCTCAAGGAGGACGGTCGACTACACCGCCGACCCAGTTAACGGATTCAACGCCGTCGTAAGGAAAGACGGTGAAGTCGCTCAATCACACATGCCCGGCCGAGTGCCATTTTTCAACCACGCACCCGTCGCTCTCGCACGTCAGCAAGTGGCTCTTCCCAGGGTTCACACCGTTCAAAGTCAAGTACCAGTCCAAGCCTATCAAGGTGCCGTTCAGGGCTTCGCTCAACCCGGTCTTTTCAGAGGACCAGGACCAGTCGTCAGCCACTCCTTTTCTTCTCCGCACTCTTCTTTCACCTACTAATTTCACAAAGTGCTGAACTGACATAAACAAATTTTTATCAAAATAAAATTTATAGAAAAATATAATATTATTATTTTTATCCAAATCTAAATTCTCTTAGATATAGTCTGATACATAATCTATGTTCTAATATTCTTAGAACAAATCTGAGGATTTCAGTCACCGCAACAGTTTATGCATTGGCACTGCACTCATCACTGGAACATAAAGATCCAGGGTTCGAATCCAGCGGTCCTCATTCGAAACTGATATACTTAGAAAGGGTTTATTTTCAAAAACGCCTGCACCTCCATATAACTAGGAATATGGGTTCATATAACCTTGCAGATGAAATACCTTGGTAAAAAAATAGATAACATGTATTCGTATAATACACAATTTATTCACATTTCACGTTTAAGTTTAAGAACGAAAGAATTGCCAGTAGCCTCAAAAAGCCATTATTGTAGTATTTAATTTTAATCTTGTTAAAGTTCATATTTTCGTTAATTTTAGGTTTTTTCTCTTCTATAACTATTCTTCTGTCATGTACATATCATCATTTCATTTTCATTATCATCATTCTGATGTGTTCCACCTAATTATTGAATGCAACTCTTTGGCTCCATATAGAGAGCGCGTTGGAATGCCATAAGATATGAGAATTATGCTTGAACACGGCAGCCAGATGCTCGGTATCCTTTATTCAGATTCTTGGAGGAAACAGGGTTTTTTTTATTGCATATAGTAATGATATTTTTATGACAATGTATGGTAATGGCATTTATTAGCGTGAATGTGTATTGTGAGAGGGTCATCCAAGTCAGTGTCACCAGCGGGATTCGAACCCACGACCTTCAGCAAGACTCGGACACTAACTTCCCATCTCAACAACACCTTTTGAATTTTCCCTCCTTTTTGCCAATTTTCAAATGTCGTGTAATCTATTTGATTCTCGGCGACAAATGAAATGGCCAAGGAGAGCTTTAGTGAAGGTATACTTCATTTTACTTATTAAATCCATTAGAGTTCGTGGACCGATTGACCAAATAATTTTTTCAATTCAAGAATCGAATGGATTACACGATATTTGAAAAATGGCGAAAAGGAGGAAGATTCGAAAGGCGGGTTGGGATGGGAGGTTGGTGTCCTAGTGGATTGAAGTCACGATAGCTCAAGTGGTAGAGCTGGTAGAGTCTTGGGTTCGAATCCAGCTCTGACACTGACTTTTTATCTCAACCAATACTTTACATAAATTTTTTTTTTAAATTTAGAAATCGTGAGATGCGGTCTGGTGTGATGTAGGTTTCAGAAAAACATTTTCTTTATCGTTTATTTATTAAACACATTTCTCTTGTCCGATACTTTAAAATAGCTTTCAAAAATTATAAAACAATTCAAACACTTTTTCCCAAAATTAAACATCCCAAACCAATAACAAATAAATCTGACGCAATCTACAAAATCAACTGTTTAAACTGTCCGGAAACTTACATCGGTCTTACATCCCAATATCTGGACAAGAGAGCAAAGCAACATATCTATGATTGCAAAAAACCTAAGCAAAATCTTACAGCACTCGCTACCCACCATTTTGAACACCAAAACAATTTCGACTTAAAAAATACAAAAATATTACATACAGAACAAAACAAACATAAACGTAATTTCTTAGAAATGTTTCGACTTCAAAAATCCAAAAATATTACATACAGAACAAAACAAACATAAACGTAATTTCTTAGAAATTGTTTATATCTACAGAGATAAACACAGCATCAATTACAGGACAGATACATGTAAACTCAGTCGCAGCTACGCCAATATCATTAATCAAATTCAATACAGATAACATACTTATATCATCACATTACATTCCGCACATCAAATATTTTTCCCATAGTCTAATTTCCCAAAAATTTAGCTTCCCTTTTCCTATTTACCCCCTTTCTATATAATCCTGAAAGGATAACCTGGCCGAACTTTTTCACCTCAAAGAAGCCGACGCCTTATACAAAAATGTCTTTTCTACACCGACATCCATACCCACACCTTCAAAATCCAACGTATATAAACACAAAATAGCAAAATCTCACTGGCACTCTCGACACGACACGCCAGAATGGCACATTTACACAGAAGACAAACACTTTGAGTGAGTAGAAATACTTTGATTGAATATATAAAAAAATATATTTTGCATTTTATAAATTCACTTTTCCACATCCAAAATATAATTATAATATATAAACAATGAAGATGATCTCAATAAAGATCGAAACGTTGGCACGATAAAGAAAATGTTTTTCTGAAACCTACATCACACCAGACTGCATCTCACGATTTCTAAATAAATATCGATTAACGGTCACTAATCACCACACATTTTACATAAAGATTAATTAATTGAAAAAAGTCATTTGGTCAATCGGATCACGAACTCTAATGGATTTAGTAAATATTAATAATGAGTTAGAGTGTAACGAGTTTGGATCTAGGAACTGCATGCGTTGCTGAATTTCCCTAGTTGTTGACACCACCCAGAGCCCAACTTCGGACGCTGGACGGATAAGACTGAGGTCAGACCATCTTGCCAAGACCCAAGGTAGATGATTCTCGAGGCCTGGCGGTTGCCTACAATTGATAGGCTCTACTCTGTACATCTGCAGATTTTAACTTATATAAATCCTAATCTATACCCCTGTATATTTTGGTTTTATAATTCCATAATTTTGTTAATATTAGAAAATATATGAAGTCCGATATGTAGATCGATGCTTAGCTGACGGAGTATTTTCCAATAATGGGATAAGAAATATACACATTTTCTTGATATACATAAACATCAATATTATGAGAGATAAAGCGGAAGCCTATAAGTATACATCCAATAGTAAGTATATATATATATATATATATAATACATATTCCTATCAACTCGGCGTCCCCTCAAAGAAATTTTACATTTAAACCGTTGAACTATTTATATGTATATATATAATGTTAAAATATATAATTTATGTATATAACATATATATATATAATTTTCTTACCATTGGTAATCAATTTTCGTAGAGAGTTTTAGTAAGAAATTCTTAGTTAAATATGTTTTAATGTTTCTATATATTTTATAAATGTGAATGCTTTTAAAAATATTACCAATTTATATTCCTCAGGAGCTGTTTAATTTTATAGGGGCGTTAAAGTTTAGACTTTACCTGTGCCGTCGATTGTGAACAAAACCTGTGATATGTTGACCTAAGGGAGTATTGGAACTGCAAATATTTGCACTTCATCAGTTGATCGAAACATGTTTTTATTCCGTGTTTTCACTAAGGATAAGATAGACGAGAGAAGAAAATAAACTTACGTGTTGCACTTATGACCTCTGCCATGTAACACTCGTGAGGACTTCAATATCAAAACTACGTTAACATAAACGAGTTATTTTTATCTCTCTCCCACACATCAAATATCAAACGTGAAGATATTGAGTTTGTCTATTTTATATAATATAACAACAACAAAAAAGATGTCAAGATATTAACTTGCCTTGATTAATTGATACTTCGATAAAAGGAAAATGTTACGAACCTAATGTTTTATCCTCAGCGATCCGTGTTGAATGTCAGACACCATAAAACTGTCCCCAAAAGATTTGGATTAACGAGAATTATCTGTAGTGAAACAAATACGTCTCATGGGCCCACTTCTGCTCAGGAGACACCCTAAGACCGATCCCTTCTGGGGGTAAATTAATTAATGATAGAACTACAAAAAAGTCTTCTCCAAAAATGCCCTATTTAAAGGAAAAATTTCCATAACTTGAAAATAAAACGTCTTAAATAAAAAAATAAAAAACCTACCCAGTCTTCTAACTTGCTAACAGCAATCTTATATTTTTATAATTTTTTTATTAGAATTTTATATTTTTCAATGTGAACCAATTTTTACAAAAAACAAAAACAAAAGTGAACTATCATCATTGACTAACATCATTGGCTAATTAATTAAGGTTTTTAGTTGAGATGAAAAAGTCAGTATCACGAGCAGGATTCGAACCCACGATCTTCGTCTAGATACGCCGCTGCTCTACCACTTGAGCTATCGTGACCTCGATCCACTCGGACACCAACTTCTCATCTGAGCCCCACCTTTTGAATTTTCCCTCCATTTCTCCATTTTTCTAATTTTTTATCTCAACTAAAAACCTTAATTAATTGAAAGATATTAATTGGTCAAGTGGATCACGAATCTAGTGAAATTAGTAAGTTTAAATTAAGTATATCTTCACTAAAAAGCTCTCCGTAGTTATTTCATTTGTCGCCAGAATCAAATAGATTACACGTACATTTGAAAAATGGCAAAAAGGAGGGAAAATTCAAAAGGTGCATGCAACCAGATTTTTATGTTTCTATCGAGCGTTGCGTTTGTGTTAATTTCTTGGTATTAATGTAATTTATTATCGTGAAAAGAAGGGGTTGCTTGTAACCCCGTCCCGAGGAATATCGAGTGCTCTAAGGTGAGCGTGTGATGGAAAGTAATAGTAAGTTTTTACGCTGAAAACAATGATGTAATCGAATCTTAAATTGGTCAAAAAATGACAAAATTATGGCAAAAAGAAACCGGCAACGTAATTTCAAAGAAGAGCTGAATATTTTACTGCACGTACGCGAAAATCCGAATACCTCTCTCCGAAATGTTGGAAGGGTTTTAGATTTTTCAAAAAATAAAATTAGATGTATTCCGGACGTAGAATTTTAATATTTTAAGGCATATCGCTTGTCCAGGGACTTCCGGACTCTGATAATGACGGGAGTCCAACATTCCTTCCACAAATTTCAATTTGGGAGGCTGAAGAAAACGTTCTTCCATACATCTTACGGACTGATGAATCCAAGTTCACCTCTAATGGCGTAATAAACCGTTGGAATTTCCGAACGTGGGCAGAGGAAAATCCGAGAATTTCGTATTCATGTGGTTCGCTTAGAAAAATGGCAAAAGGAGGGAAAATTAAAAAAAAAAGTGGCGTTGAGATGGGAAGTTAGTGTCCGAGTGGGTCGAAGTCAGGATAGCTCAAATT